TTGCTGGAGCAGTGAGCTCATTGGATCAATGAACTTGCTGGAGCAGTCAGCCCATCGGATCAATAAAGTTGCTGGAGCAGTGAGCCCATTAGAACAACAACTTGCTGGAGCAGTGAGCCCATTAGAGTAATGGACTTGTCAGAACAAGGAACTCCTTTGAGCAGTGAACCTTGTAAACCAACAGACCTATTTGAGCAGTGCATCTGCTAGTTGGCATGCCACCAGGGTTGTATCTTTATATTCTCAGAGCGCTGCATTTTCCTCATGTTTTTATTCCATCTGGAGTACTCAGTTACGTATTGAGGCTTAAACTGAGTTTAATGAGCAAACAATGGCTGGATAAGTTCAAAGGTTTAGTCAGTGCAAGAAATGTATGAAGCCAGCTGGATTTGGTAGGAGAGAAAATGGAAGGCGGGCAGCTTGAAACTGTGGTGTCCGTCTCTGCGCTTGCAGACGAAAGCGATGATGGCGTGGACACGGTGGAATCGAGGGCAAAGCAGAGGCGTGTCCAGAACATGCTGTATCTCAACGCCGAGGATGAGGAGGAGGAAGGAGAGGATATGGAGCAGGAGCACGAGGGGAGGAAAGTAATGGTGAGAACACACGCCGCTAAAAACAGAACTGCACACATCCCCTGGGTGACAGGAGGGGCAGCCAGTGCCTTGATGAGGTCATGGTGATCTTAAATTGCTAATCATTTAGTCTGCACACTGCCTCCTTGAGGGCAGGCGGGGAATAGCAGCAAACGCCTGATGAGGTCAAGCTGAGCTCACTTTGCCCCAGCCTCTGCAATTTAGCATTGCAGAGATGACCCTGATTATTATGGGATAGGCATACCTTGCAGAAGTGGTAACATGTAGCTGAGTCTGGGTGTAATAAGAGTGTCATCTGTCATTTAATGACAGTAATTCAGAGCCTGTTTGAGCGTGCTTGTGGCAGGTGACTAATCTGCCTGCTATGAGACAGTAGGTTTCCTCTACAGGAAGACCACCGGTCTTGCCCGCATGATAACATACACAGCTGCGGGGGACACCTGCCTCAGGTCCAGAGGAGAATGCAAAAAAAAAGCGAAGTAAGCCCAGTATTACCTTAAATTGCTTAGTATATTTCAAGGCCTAAATAAATAGCTGGGCTCCCGATGGGGAATGGGAAGTGGATTATATCGGAGCACATTCCGGTTAATCAGATAGCCAATCCCCCCTCTAGCTCCGGCCCTGGACGCCGTAATCACAGCCACATGGCCGGAGAGGGAGCCCCCTGCCAGCTGGCCCCAGAATCGGGGCTCTGCGCCGGAGTGGGGCCAGCTTGGGCCTTTTATTTTATCCAGCCTCTTAATTAATTATCTGACCCTACTGCAGGGCCTGATCGACCTGTTGGGCCGCCCGTTCCAAGTGTCTAATGGTTTGCGCCGAATATCTGTAAAGAGAACAGTGCACTAAAATGGCCGAGAGTGCCCTCACAGTCACCGCCTACCGCAGCCCGCCGTTCTTCGCGGTGTTTGTTCCCGTCAGCGGGCCAAGCCAGCCACGAGAGAGCGTAGCGCTTCAGGTGCTGCCCTCTCGTGGCCGCGTGTGCACTGTGTTGCCTGCTGACTCACTGTCGCCCCCCGGTGTTCACGCAGGTGTTCTTCACGCGGAACGGGAAGATCATCGGGAAGAGGGAAGCGGTCGTGCCGGCGGGGGGGTTCTACCCCACCATCGGGATGCTGAGCAGTGGCGAGAAGGTCAAGGTGGACCTGCACCCCCTGAGCGGCTGAGAGGGCCAAGGTGGGGGTTGGGGGTGGAGAGGACCCCAGAAAGACTGACTTCTGAAGAGAAAGCACCCCAGTCCCCAGGAAGCCCACCCCCCCCGAGACAGGACAGGAGAGGATCCCTCAGACAGGGAGCATAGAGTCAGTCCTGGGCGACGCTGCCAGCCCCCTCATGGTGCCCCGACATGGCACAGTGCTCGTACCCCCCCACACTCTCACTTCTTCACCGTTCTCAGCTTCCTGCCCCAGAGCGAAGTCTGGCTCTCTGACGTCCTAAAATGAGCTTTCCCAGATGTGCGGGACAGTGAAACCAATTCCGCTGCTAGAGCGAAGACCGGAGAGGATTCCTTCCTCTGGAGCAGGAGGAAGCCTTGCATGCTGCTGTGCGCGAGCGGGATCGGCGGTCCCCAGCGGGGGGCACTGTTGCTCCACATGGGCCGGCTCTGGAGACTGTGGCTGTATGGGAATCCGGTGGTGGGCGGGGCCTGAAAGATAGGGCAGGATCAGATTTTCAACCCCGGGGCCGTGCATGGAGGCTGGAGCCCAGCCTGGCTGCCACACAGCTGCACCACATTTACACTGACAGGAGGCTGAGCTGGTATTTATCGATCTGATCATTATTTAAGTTAATTTAAGGGCATGATGCATGCTGGGAGCTCTGGCCACGACGGGGCAGCAGAGCAGAGTGGCTTCTGTTTCGCCCCGGCGCTCTGAAGACGAGGCCTAGCCTGCAGAACGACGCATGCGTCCCAGGACTCCTCGGATCTGGGAATCTCGCGAACCTTGCATTTCTCCGGCGCGTTGGCTCGGGGGCGGCCTGGTTGCCCGTGTTTCTCCTTACTGCTCAGCTGGGCTGCGTTGTTGACTGTGACTCAGGGACGTGTGTGAACAGTGCCTTCCTGTGCTGTAGGGTAGATCAGTTGTAAAGCAACCGTGTTTTGAAAAAATTCCCGACTCCCCTTCCTACACGCCAGCCGTCCGCTGGTCCGCACAGCTCTGTATCGCCTGCTTCTGTCAGCTGAGATACCGACACTCAGACACATTTCGACTTCACGTGTTTCAGAAGAAAAGCTCCCCTGATGGAAATCTTGAACATGGGAGCTGAGGACGGGTGGCAGCAGAATATCTTGGTGTTGCTGAGACACCTTCGCCATCTCTCCTGGAAAACTGGGGAGCTCGTTGTTCACGAGCACAAAAAACACAATTACAGCTGCGCCACTTGAGTCCCTTCCTCGGTTTCAACTACCAGCTCTCAAATTTAAAAACGTTAGAAAAGCTTTGAAACCGCAGCCGTGAAGCTCCAGGAGCAGATTGAAATCTGTTACACTGGTGCTGCGTTACTAAACTTGAAAAGAGCCCGGTTATTTTAAAAACCCTTTTTAAAAGGAACCTTTGGACTAGGTCCCGCAGGCCCACACACACTCACAGATGCTGTCACCCCCTGTAATTTGCTGCCTTTCCTGAAGGGGGCTGGAGCCCACTAGTGAAGATGGTGCAGACGTAGATTTTGATTAGATTTTCCCAAGGCACTATGGGTAAAAAGCCCCCTCTGCATGGCTCGGCATGGATCTTCCTCTGAACTCTGGATAATATACAACTCTGTATGGAAGCTGATGGGTGGCCTGTCAACAAGCTGGTGTGGCTCAGTTAAGAACGTGATTCTACTTTTCTTTCTCAGTGGCTTTTCTAGAACTTTTCAGACCAGCGGTTTTTCTAGAACTACAGTTGAATGTCCTCCTTGTACCGTAAAGACAAGGCGCTGATCTTGCAGTGCTACTATGTTGGGAGCAGAGCCCAGATGGAGATTTCCAGAACAACACTAAAGCAAGCACCTGTGCCAAATGCTGATGGGATTGCTCATTTTAATGTCCTAACAAGCTTGTAACACCTGCGCCTTGTGAAACAGGTCAAGAGTTATAGTGGCTAGACTTGTCAGCTGAAACAGACCCACTTACAGCTATCTTCAGTCTGTCTTGCAGTTTGAAATTTCATTGGGCCTTCCTCGCATTTTCAGTTTTCCACGAGGTCTCTGCAGGAAGTATGAAGTTAAATCGTTCTGGAATTGTCCCGTGTTGTTTTTAGAAGCTATTTAAGAGACGGCTTGAGATTCCAGCACTTTCTATACAGTGAAGAGGGTCTTACATTAATTAGGACGCAAAGGGCCATGGTCACTCAGGAATTCGTACTCGTTAGAAATATTGGGAACCTCCATCCAAGTCAATAGATTGTCAATGACCGGCACTGTGTAGTGGGTAGCTGGGTCTTTAATCAGATCAGAAAAGATCATTTTCTGTGTGCATAACACCCAAGCCTCCATCCTGCTGTGAAAGTGCATGAGGAATCCTAATGGGCTGGTTGGTGAGTGTAGAGTCACACTCAAGCCCTAGTGTGCAATCAAGAGAGGACTAAGAAATGGGGAAGGCCTGCAGTGGGCCTGTACATTTCGTCTTCTCTTAGTAGCCGGCGCCATCTAGTGGCTTGAAGGTGAACTGCAGCAGAGTGATTCGGCTTGCTGTGTGGTACCACCCGGAGGTCAGTGTTTGTTGCATTTAATATCGCCCTGAAGAGAGCATCTTCCTTTTCACAGACTGTTCCTGTAGTGTAAATAACTAAAATCATCATTATACTGTTGTCACTCGCACTTTACAGATGTATAATCTGACATGGCTGCCATGCTGGAGCTCTCAGAGAGGGGAGTGTCTGGGTGTCTGCTGCTCTCAGGCGCTCAGCTCCTGCTCAGGGTTGAAGGTGGTTTTCTCCGGGTTTTGCATTGGGTTGAGAGGTTTTTCTTGTAAAAAATAAAGTCAAGCAAATGTAACTGAACTTTCAGGTTGATGCTTGCTGTCTATAATGCTAAGAGAAGAGCTGGACTGTAATCCCTGTGCTGGGCTCCTGTCTCAGTGTCCTACAGGCCTGCCACACTGACTTTCACTGCAGCCAGGGCTCTCAGACACTCGTTTTATCTGATTCGATTTGATTAGATTCACATTGATTTGACTAATCGGGCAATTGCAATGGCCTCATGCAAGCGGCTGTCAGGATGAAAATAATTTCTACAAAGAGGAAAGGGCAGGATGTTGTCTGCGATATTCTGCAGGTGCTGGAGATCCACAGAGGTCAGAGTGACTTGATGGAATCAAAAATCCAGGAGTCTCAGACCTCTGCCTTTCAGGACCCTTCCGATCTTAATGAATTGGACTTATTATTTGGGAATAAGTGTCACTTATGTTTGTAGAATCTTAATTGGCAATTAAATGGAAAGTACCTGTCAGACCCGCAGGACTCTCCACACTGGAGGCCTGGGGCTGGGTGAATCATTCTGTGGCCCCTTCGCCTGCACCCCATCTCAGGCGCTGAAGTCCCTGCAGCTGGACTGAACCTGCAGCCGGACTCGGTGTGTTCCTCTGAGCTGGGCTGCGGTGGGTCCCTGAGTTCTGGACAGACCCAAACCCTGTGTCCTGCAGTGCACTGGCAGGAACTGGATCTCTGCATGCATGTCTCATCTGCTTCCAGCGCGCTCTTGTGTCAATGTATGTACAGAACGGAGATGTTTATAAACCTTATATTAATGATAATGATAATAAAGATGGCTATTTCCATACGAACCGGGTCTGGTGTGTCTTATGCTGTATTGCCTCCCTGACTACAGGAGAAAAAAAAAGTTCTTCCTGTTTCTCGGGTCTGTCAAAGCAAGGATGGCGTTGCAGGGATCATGCAGCATCACAGGGAAAGAAAAAAACACAGCTGTGCTCAGGACAAAAAAGGCCACAATGGCTGGAGGAAAGGACCCAGCCAGATCCAGTGTCCTTGGATACCTGTTAGAACCAATCCACTTATTTTGTGCTGAATTGAACATTAATGTCCAGTAATCAGTCATCAGTCGCAGATTAATTGAACTAGTTTTACAATTAGTGTGCCCATTCGACAGCAACTGGCAGGTAAAATGTTAATAAAAATACAGAGATGAGTGCACACTTGTAAAGGCAGGTTGGAATGGCGCAGAGCTAGTGTGAGAGGGGGTGTCTTTTGTGGACTAAATCGTGAATCATTTTTCAGCCACTCTTCTCACGTCAAAACATGAGCAAAACACAAATAACTGTGATAGAGACCCCAAAAACATTAAATACCAGGCCAGAGCCAAGAAAACCGATAAACTGAGAACAGGTAACCCACAGCTAAACTACATTTTTCTCAATAATCTCTTCAATTTCGCCACTCATCTTATCCTCTAACTCCCAACGATTTTTCCAGGTTCTTTTAAACCACATATTAGCATTCCAACTTCCACCTAATGTAAGAAGTCATATTAAAACCGTTTTATTTGTTCTGTTTTTTACCATAATGGGGGCCCCGCCGTGAGGCAGGGCGATCAAAAAATTAGTTTAGACTCATAATGTTCCTCTCCACGGAAATCTTTAGTAAAAGGCGAAAGATTTATACGATCTGAAGAGAAACCAGAGTGTACTGAACTCCTTATTGGAAACACCGAAGCCGCATCCACAGCCGTTATCCAGCAGTTCACGGTAAGAGTATGAAGCCCGTAACAAACAGACGTTTTGCAGCCCGCTGCCACACAGCCCATAGTAAGATCATTATTGTGTCCATTGAATTGTATTTACAAACTGACTTTTATACGTTATTGTAAAGATAATTATATATAAATACACACACTGCCCAGGACATGGTGCATTGTGGGTAACATGCAAATAGCTCAAGCTGCGTGCTCTCCCGAGGCAGCGCCCTCTAGTGGTTAAATAAACGAAGCACAACTAGACTCCGCTGTCTGCCACAGCTGGGGACCGACTGTCCTCTTCTCGGGCAGCCCAGGAGGCAGGAGAGCGCCATGGACTGCGAGAACCCTTCAAAAGCTGTTAAGATCAATCCTGTCCTCCACAGACGTATTGCCCAGGGCCTGGCTGGAACCTCCAGAAATGTATTTTTTTTTCCTGCTGAGGGGGGAGGTATTTAGTTTTCCTCTCCTCCGCGGTCACCTGTTTCTGTATTTTTTAAATGCACCAGAGCTCTGTAAAGCGCCCTGCGACAGCCGGACGGCTAATCCAACGTTAATTGATCGCGTTCTGTTCTTCTGAAACTGCGGATAAACGGGGGTCGTGCCCAGGCCGAGACCCTGCACCAGTCCAGCTCCGGAATCGGCCCTCTGCCTCACTGTGCCGAACCTGGACTTCAGAGACGACAGGGGACCCTGATCCAGTATTCTCATGGAACAAATACTTACACTGTCTTGCAATCAAGAAGGAAAGAGAAGTGTTGTGTATCTTAATAAAGAGCCGTTCTTATATTATATTAACTACTTTATTAGCTACACAGATCACGCCCTTACACCACATGTTCCCGCCTTCTGCTCTCTCGTTCTGTTGTCTCGCGATGTCTACTCGCTATACTACAGTACATCCCCTCCTTTGTTATTTTTAAAGTCCATAACTTTACCGTACAATTGTAACAATTCTATACCAACACAAAGTAAACGGTTATTAACTATTACAACAAAATGTATGTAAAACCTTCCATTTCTATTCAACACATTCAACTTATTTTTTTACAACAATGTCTATGCGTACCAACTCAAATTTTAGTTCAATTTCTACTTAAGTCACTTCTAAATTATCACCTCATTTCTAGCAGTCTAAGGCAGCTACAGTCTGGTCATATGTACCTTTTTCTCCAGGGAGGTTGGCGAAAATCCGCCGCACGGGCGCCCCCATACAGTGCGGTAAGGCAAACCGTCTCACGGCATCCGGAGCTTCTGTGGATCCACTAGCTATTTCAAAAAATCTGTACGACTCCATCCATATCTTGTATTCCGTATACAAATCCGGAGCTCCGAGGTTCAGTGGAAGCGGTGGAGAAAGCTGGGCATAAGCAAAGCTTCTCGGCGCGGCGGCCATATCTTCCATGGCGCAAGCTAAACGAACAGTCCGAATATTCAAGAGTTCGTTTCCACAAGCAAGAGAACTAAAATCTGCGGTGTTCTGCTCGCTTTGAGTTCGTCAAGCACTCATCTCTCGTCGCCATAAATATTGTGTATCTTAATAAAGAGCCGTTCTTATATTATTTTAACTACTTTATTAGCTACGCAGATCACGCCCTTACACCACATGTTCCCGCCTTCTGCTCTCTCGCTCTGTTGTCTCGCGATGTCTACTCGCTATACTACAAGAAGCAACCCTGACGTTCAACAAAGATTTTTCTTTTTAAGAATAAACTTTATTCCAACAATGTGTACATTTCAAAGAATACAATTCTAACAAAGCAATGCGATTATCACAATTCAAAATTTAAGAAAAGTCTCAAAGTAGTGGTGGTCCATTATCAATTCAACAAGGAAGAATGGGTCTGTTGTGTATACCTGTGATGTCCACTGTTTCATCCAGCCGTTTACTGACCACTTTATCTGATTCAGGGTCACAGGGAAGTCAGAGTCTATCCCAGAGAGCAACAGTATTTAACTGATAAAAACCCCCACAGAGCGCACAGCAGGCCTACAATGGAGCTCAGGGCTGTGATGCACTGTGTAGACAGAAATCATGACTTCTGTAAACATTATGTAAAAACACTACGCCCCACTCCCGGTTTTGCCTGAACCTGTTTTTTTAAAGTGATTTGTAGCTCCTGTGGTCACATTCTTCCTGGGACACTGCCCTGTGGGACCAGCTGCCCAGAACCAGAGCTGGCAGACATGCATTTCGGCATAATGTTACCAAAAGCAAGCACACATCTAGTCATGCCACAGGCAGAGAGGCAGCCAGTGTGGGTAACCACAGGCACCGGCAGGAGTCCCTGAGGAGTCTCTGCAGTTGCCTGTGCTGTGGGGAAGAGTTCACTCAGAGTCGCCCCGGGAGACCAAGGCGAGGACACTATGGGGAGGGGAACGCGACACTCACACCAATTGTCATGAAGTGCTTTGAAAGGCTAGTCATGGGCCACATCAAGTCCAGACTCCCCACCTCTCTGGACCCCCTCCAGGTTGCGTATCGTCCCAATCGGTCTACCGACGATGCTGTATCCCTGGCCCTGTCCCATCTGGATAAATGGGACACTTATGTAAGAATGCTGGTCAATGACTTCAGTTCAGCCTTCAACACAATCATCCTCCAGAAACTGATAGAAAAACTGAGCTTGCTGAATCTCAATGCCTCCCTCTGCAACTGGATTCCGGACTTTCTGACCGAGAGACCTCAGACAGTCCGGATTGGAAACATCTCTAGTACCACCATACTGAACACTGGAACCCCCCAGTGATGTGTGCTCAGCCCTCTCCTGTTCACGCTGATGACTCATGACTGCACCTCTAAACACAGTGCAAAGTAGATCATTAGGTTTGCTGACGACACAACGATGAGGCACCATACAGAGAGGAGGTGGAGCAATTAGCGGATTGGTGCGTCAACAACAATTTCAAATCAATTCAAGACGCTTTATTGGCATGACCAATGGGTACAATCAGTGTTATCAAAGCAAACAAAAATAAAATTAACATGAAACAAAAATCTACAGACATTTACAACAAAGACATATAAAGTATTTACATATATTGTAAACATATGGAACATTACTGGGAGACAGACTCACTGTTCCTCAGGCTGTGACAGGAGATCACATACTGGGCTGCCAGTTCAACTGAGTTACCTCCTCCCTCTCCCAGTAGGACTGGGACCTGTTGTGATTCTGGCAGGTGTGGGACCTCTGGGATTAGATTTCTGAATTTAGGGAGGAATGTTTCTCTAATCCCAGAATATCTGTCACAGTGCAGTAGGAAGCGCACCTCTGTCTCTGTTTCTGTTTCTCCCTGCTGGCAGTGGGAGCACAGCCTGTCCTCTCTGGACAGCCAGGTCTGCCTGCGTCACCTAGTTTCTATGGCCAAGAATCTGAGCCTGTGCTTCATCAGGGTCTGTTGCTTGGTCAAATATTCAGCTAGTGTGTATTGTCTGTTAAGGGTTCTGCAGCATTCCAGTTTATGTTGTGTTCGTGTGTGTGTGTGAGATATTGCTGTTTGATCTGTGCAAGATATTGCTGTTTGATCTGTGCTGTGATGTGCTTGATTCGGAGTTGTGGTGCTCTAGCAGTGCTGTCCTGAGGCTGGTTAGTGTCGGTGTGGCTCAGGTCAGTGAGCCTCAGGACCAGCTGGCTCAAGGGGCTCTTCTCTGGGCTCAGCTCTTGTCTCAGCAGGGCTTTGTGGTGGTAGGAATTTTGGTCACTGTTTTTTAGGTGTAGCCAATACTTTAATACTCTCTTCTGTATTTTTATTAATAGTGGGTATTGGCCTAATTCAGCCCTGCACCCGTTGTTAGGTGTTTTTCTCTGTACACAGAGGATGTTTCTACAGATCTCCATGTGCAGAGTTTCTGTGGGGTGTTTGTCCGATTGAGTGTAATCCTGGTCTGTGAGGGGACCCCAAACTTCACTGCGTATAGGACAATGGGTTGGATTACACTTTCAAATATTTGGAGCCAGATTCTTGTTGGGGGGTTGATGTTGAAGAGCCTCCTTCTTATTGCGTAGAATGCCCAGAGTGCCTTCTCCCTCAGTGCCTTCACTGCCAGGTCAAGACTCCCAGATGAGCTGATGGTGAGACCGAGATATGTGTAGCTGGATGAGTGCTCCAATGTGTTGTTGTTGAGTGTGTAGCCGTTTCCCTGAAGTCCGGCTTTCCTCTGGAAAACCATGACTCTGGTCTTGTCCAGATTGACTGTCGGCGCCCAGGTCTGACAGTACTGCTCCAGCAGTGCCAGGTTCTGCTGCAGCCCCTGCTCCAACATTCCTGCTAATTCGTTGATATAGATATTGATCAGTGTTGGGCTCAGGCTGCAGCCCTGTCTCACCCCTTGGCCGTGGGTGAAGAATTTGGTCCTTTTGTTTCCAATTTTCACTGCACATTTGTTCCCTGAAGACAAAAGAGAAGACAACTGACTCCCCTGTGGAGACAGCTAGAAGTACTTTTTGTTTTTTGGTGTGCCTATCACAGATGACGTCACCATCAACACCACTTCCCTAACTAAAAAACCACGTCGTCTCCACTTCCTGCACCGACTGAGAAGGGCAACCACCCCCATACTATCCACATTCCATATACATTCAAGAGAGCATCTTGACAAACTGCATCATTCTTTGGTTTGGGAATTGTAAGGTCTCAGACCGCAAGTCCCTGCAGCGAATTGTCAATACAGCAGGACCATTCAGGACGTCTACCAGACACGCTGCACACAGTCTCCAGTATTGTGGACGATCCCTCCCACCCCCCCTGCAACCTCTTTGCCCTCCTACCATCTGGTCAAAGGTATCGCAGTAGACGGGCCAGCTCCACCAGACTCCATAACAGCTTTTCTCCACAGGCCGTCAGGCTCCTCAACAAGCTCCTGGCACCTACTGCAAATCCAGAAACTTAGTTCCTTTTGCCTAATGTCAGGCACACGGTCAGATGTACTCTTTGCACAATCCTGTAAAGTAAATTGCACTCTGCACATTGCACTTTATGTAGCCTGTATCCAGTTAGAAATGTCTATGTCTACATCGTCTTGTCAGTGCCTTGTCGGTATTCGCACCATAGACCTGGAGAACGAGATCTCACTCTCCTGTATACTTGTATATGGCTAGAATGACAAATAAACTTGAATGTCTAAACTGTAGTTATAGCAAATTAGAATGTGAAAAAATAAGAAGGGGGGGATATTCATTTCCCAAAAAAAACTGAAATGTAGTACATCAGAAAGTCTGGAAGTCACACTGCCTTGTCGAGGAGCCAAGTCTCTCCCGAGGCTGCTCTGGAGTCACACACCTGTACACACACACACTAGTATATACCCACACCTGTATAGACATTCACACATCCACAGTCACACTCATATCATAGTAACTGTATACACAGTCATGCCTCTACACACACATATACACCCACAGCTGTATATACTGTACATTCACACATCCACAGTCACACTCACATCACATATCAGTTACTGTATACACAGTCATGCCTCTACACACACATATACACCCACAGCTGTATATAGTCATACATTCACACCTGTACACACATCCAGTCACACTCATACACACACACCTGTCACACCTGTACAGTCATTCCTATACACCCACACCTGTGCAGTAACTGCTGTACACCCACCCAGTCACACCTGTGCACAGTCACTCTTGTACACCCAGTCATACCTGTACCCACACCTGTGCACAGTCACTTTTGTACACCCACCCACAGGTTTGTGCTTCCTCCTTTTGACTGCTGCTCTATCCGTTCCTCTTCTGTACTCCACTGAAAGGAAACTCAAAAAGGTGATGGGATTTATAGTGAACTTGTTAAAGACAACACCAGTGATTTACTTTGTAGAGACCAGATCACCATTCAGGTCTTTTGCTACACACAATTTTCACAGACACTGTGAATCCCACACACAATTAAACTTTCTCTAAACCATGATGCATTATGCGCACAAGACAACTGGCCCTCAACATCAAGCCATGACAAGAGAACAATCTTAATTTAATCCGTTTATTTTAACAAATCTTACATTTACTGAGCAAAATTTATAACCCCCAATTATTGAAAACAAAAATGCTTGAAAATGCTTGCTCTTCACAGTATTGAGATATGCTTTTTTCCCCATTTTTTATAACAGATTTTCACCTATAAAAGCATAATGTCATTTTTTTATATAAAAAAAGCCATCTTTGCCGACAGTCTGGTAAACTGCTAGTGTAATTGGCACTTTCAAGGAGACGAGATTCTTCCCAAGCAGAAGGAAATAAAGGGGGTTTGGCTTCTATGCCGCTGCGGTTCCCCTTAAATAAATGATCAACTAAAGGGCCCGTTACACCTTGAATCTATCGGTCGCCCTCAGAAAGCAGGGGCGCGGTACCCAGTTCTCAAACGTCTTCAGGGCTCCATCACTTAGGCTGCAGAACAGGTCCCGAACTGGCGGAGGCCGTGTCTGGCGCCAGGAGCACGCGACACTTTGCCAGGTGAGAGAGCTCCCAGAGGGACTACTGCCGTTCTCAAACCGCCTCACAGCGGCGGCAGCCTTCTCGCTGCCACTCGTACCTAGTCTGGAATAAAAGAAGCTGCAAGCGCTTCACGCTTCACATGCGGCTACACGACAGCGGTCAAGGAAGTCACTTGGCTTGTGGAGGGTTCAGAAATGGGACCCCCTTCCGCTAGTGCTACCTCAATACAGAGTATTCCAACACTCCTTAGCTTTACGGTCCTATCGCTCTCATCTCCCATCACCTCTCTACTCTGGACAGGCACACAGTCAGTCAGCAGAGAGACTGTGCCAGACATTTCCTCAGTCTCGGAGAAGAAGTCCCCCCGTCAGGAATGCTCTGGGAAGCAGCGTGAGCTGACACAGTAGCTTTGTTAGTTGACCTCGCCCAGCTGTCTGCAGCTTTCAGACCACAAAATGTAAAGTGCTAAAACTAAAGCAAATTTAAGACTTCTTACACGATACAAAGCTGCAGAGGAGGAGAAGGAAGTTGATCAGACTGGACTGGATTTTCTGACAAAGGAAATAAGACCCTCGTGGACACAGGATCCAGCTGTTAGTGCAAATCCTGTTCCAGGCGATGCTTTGATATTAACGGCTGGAGTCTACAAGGGGGGGAGGGGCTGTAACAAGAGTATCTGCTACTTTAACCAAAGGAAAGGAATTTCTCCCCAAATGTCAGAGGGAAAAGCAGAGCCAGCCTGGCAGCTACCTTAGTACAGGCAGCTCTATTCCATGTTGACACTGTTCTGCAGCTCAGAGGTGTTTTGAAAAATAAAATCATCATTAACCACATCTTCATTCCCTATCCAGACCATTCCAAAATGATCCGCAGAGACAAAATATGGCCACCACTACACTGAGCCAAATGTGCTTTGTGCTTCCTGGATACTCCTGAACTCCACTGGGAATATGCAAGTCCCACTGGATACCAGGCATCTGCTTAACAAATAATGAACATGCCTTCTCAGGATGACAAACTTAAGAAGCCTGGACATCATCGGGCTGATTAAAGGGAGGCAGTCTAAGGCTAGTTAGGAAATTTGAGCAACTAAAGCCCAATGTTCTCCTCTCAGTGCCAGGAATCAGAGTTTTGCATGAATAAATGCACATTGTTCACAATCAAATTAAGCCATCATTCTGAAAACACCAAACTCAGCTGAAAAATATCATAGAAACATCTCCTATAGCACTCCTACAAGAGACATTACGCAAGGCTCTTTCAATTTTACAGATCTGCATTTCAAATCAGGAGCGATCGAATTAAGACGCACAAACAAAAATAAAAGCTATTACTCTCACTGACACACAGGCAGAAATGTAGGAGCAAGGAAGGATGGCTTCGCTTTTAAGTAGTGAGCAGGGAAGACAGAGGAACTGAGATAAATTATGCAAGAGGAGGAAAGAACGGCTTGAGTTACAAACCACCCAAAAGATTTCCAAAGAACCCACTAATGCACTCAGACCCTCTTCCCCAAAAGATTTATGTTAAAGACATGTGACAGCAGTTTTGTTCAGCAGCAATTGCACTGGAAAGCTGGGAAGTCCTCCTCAGTATAACGTTACCAGCTGCTCCACCTGCTGGTCAGGTCTGATCACTGCAGCTTTGACATTAACACTGCCATGCAATCCCTTAAGATTCTCCTTAACTGTGAAGCCAAACTCGCATGGGAAATGAATAAGACACTATGTTAAAGAAAGACTATAATTAAGAGGCGGGGACGAAAGCACCAAAAGCGTTTCAGATACTATTCCTTGTCACAGATTTTAATTTGAGAGAATGTTCACAGATTTCGCTTCATTTCCATCTACTTCTTCTCCTTCTTCTTCTCCTGCAGAAGACAGACCACATCGAAAGGTTAAGAGAGGCACCAGTCAAGTAAAAAAAAAAATTGATCCAGGATAAGGGATATTATTCACTCTTTAGTTCAATCCAGTTTTCAGTTCAACGGGTATGAAGTTATTTGGAACCTGAAAGCTGAATTCACTGCCCCAGACAGAGCAAGTGTGAAATTCAGCTGAACAGAGACGGCACTAAAACAAAATAATCAATAAGCTCTGCCGGCAGCTCTCTTTCACAATGCACAGTCTGCTGGATTCTAAAACAATGCCTTCAGAACAAAAGAGCAAGCAAGTGCACAAAAACCCTAAAACAGAAGTAAAACAGCCCTTTTCCAGGTTGAGAAGTTCAGGTGGGTAGTGGCGTCAGCATGCGTAGGCTGCAAAGGAATCAGTAAAGGTTTATTCCAACTGAAAAGAGAAGAAAAACACTTTTGAAATACTGTTTCTTCTCTTTTCAGCATGGAATCAACCTTTACTTGCTCCTTTTTACAGTCGGTTTTACAGTTGTTTTCATGTTTTTACTGTAAGCCTTGGTTGCTCTTTTGCACTGATGGCAACGTCTCCTGCTCCTCTCGCCTCTAATGCAAAAGCAATTCAGGTGCGAGCCGGAGACCACTGACCCCCCCCCCCGACTGAGATCTGAAAGAGCTGCTTTCTGGTCTCCCACAGAGCACCGAAACATCAGCCCAGGCCAGAACACGCTTTCCCTGACAAGAACCCACAACTCAAATCTTTAACTCAAACTCATGGCCATGCAGGACACCCAGCTCCCGGATCCTTTGTCCTTACCCATCCCCAAGCCCCACTGAGGCCTCACCTTCTCGTTCATGGCCAGGATCACCATGAGCTTTCTGAAGATGGTCACGAAGTCCAGGAAGAGGTCCACGCAGTGCCTGCAAAGAGAACACACGACTGCTGGGTGAGCTCACCACCGGGTGTCTGGTGGGATGCAAACACGGTGCCTTGAGGACACTGACTGCTGTCAACAACAGCTTCTTGGATAGGGGACCAAAAAGATGGAGACTCTGCCCCTCTTTCAAGCTGGAGACGAACAGCACAGAAAGGCAGTGGAGTTATCTAGCCCCAGTCCTCCTCAGCTGACTGTCTCAAACCAGCACGCATCTGTTGAGATTTCACAGCCTCCGCTGAGCCACCGGCTCAGAGAGTCCTTACAACTTGCTTTGCAAGACTATGGCTGTCTCTCGCACCAGGCCCAGTGTTGAGCTGCCAACTGAAGAGGATCTACAGGTAGAGATGAGACACCCCCGAACCCAGTGTGGCCTTCCGGTTCTCACAAAGCTGATGACTAAGGAGGGAGTCTCCGACAACACTGACAAATTGACAGGATTAAATCTGCCTTACTCTGTAGAGCATAATCTCTACCTCTTTTACCTCTTAAATATCTGACCCCTGCTTAAGGGTGTTCCAGAACAATAACAAATGATTTTGCCTACTTCACAGCAAGAATTACTTTCCAAGTAATGGTCATTTCTGTCTGACTTGGCAAGAGAAGGACTGCTTTTCCTTCACATGTTAGTAAACTGTCCCAGGCAGAGGAATGACAGCTGTGAGGAGAGGAGTAGTGGAGGCTCTGTTTAGGAAATATATACCACGCAATTCTGGAAGTGTGTCTGCTGAAATTCAAACACACAGCACACAAGGAGAAGCACTTGGAGACAGGGATGATAATCTGCCTGGACAACAATTTCTTCACTCTGTCCTCCTAAGAACTGAAGAGGAAGGGAGAGAGACACATGGAGGACCTCCCAGGAAGTTTTCCGATGTAGCGGACTTCAGCTTTCTGAGAAACTGAAACACAGACAGCAACTGTTTCAACCCAGCCATCAACAATGAGGCCCCACCTAATGGGCTCTGTGCACTACAGGAATAAACAGACTGAGTGCAGCTCCTGGGATAACGGGCCTGGATCACATCCAACGGGCTGCTACTGAACAAACAAGCCACAGCCAGCCTTCATGCGCATCCAGCATGGATCAGGCCTGGCCTGAGGCCAGACTGAAACGAGTACAAAGCAACAGCTCATAAGAGTTTCATCAGAAGAGCCCATCGCCACGTCAGGCCTGGGAACAGGCTCCTGGAAAGCCCCAGAGCTGATCCAGGCTGAACGCCTTCCTGCAGACTCTACAACACCACAGGACCCACAACTACGACCCGGCCGGGTCTCAGCAGAACTTGTGAAAAAGCTGCGCAGACGAACAAACGCACAGCACAGGCTCTTCGGTCATTTTAAATAAAGGGGCAATTCTCACCAAATGTAGTCCTTGTCACCCATCTCTGCCTTTTCAATGATGAGCTGGGTGTCGAAAAGCACAAAGCCACACATCAGCATCAGCCCGATGTACATGTGAGCCTGCAGAGAGAAACAGTGCGTTACTGAACACAGGACACAACATGGCTCCGTTTACTGTCCTGCACAAGGGGAAGAACAATGAACAATACTCTCAAGGTTCTGAACTACATACAGAAGAGCGTGTAAATCACTTTTGAAAGATGCCTTCAAATATCTGTTAAGAGTTTTCCGTGACTCTTTATGGCCTGTCTGGAACTGAAAAGGTCTGGCCTTCTGGCATGTAGTGTCATGGCAAACAGCAAAACGGTTAGTTCCATTAAAGTGAAATCAGCCAGTTTTCTTTCTGAACTACAAGAAATCTATATTTCACATTTTAGTTCTGGTAGTAACGCCCAAAGATTTTAATAGTTTTTCTTATTTGTGGTCTCATTTCCCCATCATGTGGCCATGACAGAGAGGTATAAGCCGATCTAACTCATTTGATATATACCACAGAAGCCATGTGGAAAAATTGTCTTTGATAATGGATGATTAGCCTGATTACACACAGAATATAACTTTAAATACCGCAGCTTATATATTAAGATTCTGTAGAAATTCTGGGGATCCAGCTTAAAACTTCAGGACTTTTATGGGCCTCCTGCTGCACTGTGAAGCTCCTCTGGCCTCTTACTGAAAAATGAAGGCAGTCTTGTAGCCTTACCTTGAAGAGCATCACTGAGCCAAAGAACATGTTGAACAAAGAGAGCAGGAACAGGAGGGACAGACCGGACATCAGTGTGCCTGCAGGAAACAGAACCTCTTTGTGAAGCACACAGACAGATGCCCATCATTTCAAAAGACATTTTCCAGGAACAAAATATCCCAAAAACTGAATCTGCGAGGGGTCTTCGTTTCCAATGCTTGAAAACACATGGTGATTGAGGGCGCCCGGATTGCAGCCCCAGGAGCTTTTGTAACTCCTTCAGACCTGGACAGGAAGGTCTGGCCCAAATATCGCAGCGCTGGTCTAATCAAGACCGAAACAAGGCTACTGAGCCCTCTTCCTAAGGTCTTGTGTACACCTCTGCCTCTCACTCGGAGTTCAAACGGCCCCACACCCGCCAGCGGGCTCCGCAGCCTTACCCCCCAGGAAGAGGTAGCTCCGGCGCTGAGCGTACAGGGCGCTCATGGTGAAGCACGCGAAGATGATGGAGGTGCCCAGGAACGCGGTCACAATGATGCTGTGGAAGAAACATGTAGCCGGTGAGACTTAGGAAAGTTTTGCGTTTCTCTAACAGACAGAAGGGCTACAGGCTGAAAAGCTGGAGAGGTCAGGGAAACAATGACTCATTCACGTTTGACCTCGGCATGTGCCAATCTCTTAGCAGCACGGAACGATAAAAGCTTTTTTTCCTCCTACTGTATATCTTCTAGCTTCAGACTCAATCCTGAAGCTGCAGAGAGACGCCATCAATCAAGATCACAAGGCATTGTTTTCTGAACATGTTAAATCTACAAAGACCACTTCCCCTCTCTGTCTCACTACTGGTGTAAGGAAGGTGGGAAACCACAGATTCTGTTCAATAGTCATATTTGATGGATAATCTATGGTCTTAAGTGGTACGAAAACAGTATATTAAAGTTAAGCACTGCTTTACAGTGATTTCTGTACATGTGGAACAAAAGGTTGCAAGCCCAGGCACAGCAGGCACAATCCAGCGATGCGGGCTTCACCCTGTATGGGAAGAGTCTCCGTGTCGTATGTCATATACGTGCTTTATCGAAAAAGTCAGACGTCATCAGAAAGCAGATGACGACTGCTGCCGACAGGTCTTACCTGGGGTTGATGGCGATGACAAAGTCCATGACAGGGCCTAGCCCGACACCTAGCATCGGAGAGACAGCGCAAGAACAGAATGAGAACCCGCATGGACAGCCAGCACAGACCCAGGGGCAGACCCTGGCATGCACAAACCCATCTGCCCCACATCGGTGAGCAGAGCTGGGGCAGCCCAGATCCTCAAAGACTGATCCTCCATCCCCTGCTTCTCAGATGCTCAGAAATATTTTACTGACTCCCAGACAGAAAGAGAGAGCTCTTGTTATGAGCCGCTGCAATTCGCACCCTTTACTGTGAGAGCCTGAGCAGAAGATGGCAATCAAACAGTTCAGAATGTCACTTTAATTGCATTAAAAAATACAATTAAAAGCAAAGGAGGACTGGTCCATCTTCCATGCAATCTATGTGGGGTCTGCATGCTTGTCTCTTGAAAGGCATGAGACAGGGCTGTGACCTCACCTGTGAAGAATGCAAAGCCCGCCAGGATGCCCAGCCTCTTCTTCTCCGTCTCTGGGCAGTGAGGGGTCATCGCCAGCCAGGCCATCATTCCCAGGGAGCCCAGGAGGGACAGGACTCCGCCCTGGAAGAGCGGCACAGGTCTCAGTTCAAACACTTGGCAAACCCCACTGGGTACCAAACCCCCTGAGGACACCCGGTCTGTATTCAACTCATCTCCGAGAAAAGAAATATGTAAAACAACAAGGTCAGCTACGTGCAAAAACCTCTCTTCATTATAAAAAATAAATCTCCCCCCCCAAGACATCACACACATTCCAATTCAAGATGTCTCAGAAATTCAAAGGCAGACTCCCACCACTCTTTAAAGCAGCCCAGCAGTCCGGGCCCTTGTAATTAGTAGTAACTTCTCTGGTTCCAATTAGCCTATATGCCCTCCTCTCACAGTTCACAGATGCAGGACACCTGCAGATCTAGGATGACCCCTAACAGATGCAAAGCAGCAGTAAAATATTCCTCCGCTTCCTGCTGACACCTGCTGGATCCAGCTCATCCCAGGCAAACCCATCTGACCTGCCCCCCCCGGCTCCTGGGCTCGGAGGTGCTGCTTTCCATGACAGCCGTGTTTTGCCAACAGCGGAAGGGAAGAAGGGAGGGAGGGAGGGAGGGAGGGAGCCGCGGACAAGGCCCAGGGCAGAGCCTTACCTGGAAGAGCCGGGTGACGACGTGGACGTAGGCGCCGGCCCCCGCCACGAACATGCACACGGCCAGGCTGGAGTACACATTCTTCAGGTGCTGCTGGGTGGACCGCGAGCTGCAGGAGAGCAAGGCGTCAGGCTGCCTCTCTGGCCAGAACGGACGCTGTCCGGCCTCGAGGCTCGCAAGACGGCTTTCCCGACTTTCAGAAAGGAACGGTTCTGGAGCCCGGGCCAGTCCTGGCTCGGCCCGTTCTCTTGCGCTCCCCCTAGATGTGAGCGCTGCCATCGGACACCTACAGCAGGGCACCGCTGCAGGTGGAACACGAGCGACACAATCTCGCCAGCCTGTCTGCTGCCCTTGACATTCAACCGCCCCCACTTTTTAAAAACAAATTAAAAGCTCAGCCGCTCTGGCTTCAAAGTTAGAGAGACAGATGTTCCCCTTTCTTCATTTCTCATTAAAAGAGCCCAGCAACATTCTGGTATTCCTCAGTAGTCCGGCCACGGAAAGCAATTAAAAGAAAGCTCAAGAACACAACTTTAAAGTTAAGGTCCAAAACACAGAATACGTCTATCCTAGCAAGTGTGCTATCTCTGCAGGCTGCCCTACTGGAAACGTTTCTATGGGGTGTCAGTTTAGACACACCAAGAAGCAGCAGGATTTTTCCCAATGAGAAGAATCCTGAAGGTGTCATTTCTGATGATTTACCCCAAAACTACAAAGGAACAACAGTCTCAGAGATGAGAGATTAGCACATTGGACCACACAGAGACAGTGTCTTCCCACAAACTGTCAGATTACTGAACTCTACCCCTACCACCGGCTCACACTGATGTTTTTCTCACACTTTTTTTTTTTAAGTTGTATGTTACTTAACTTGTTGCTGCTGCTGTTCTGTGTTTGTTTTTGGCGATTCCTTTAATGTCTTTGTATTGGAGCATACAAGCAAATAAGCATTTCACTGCACATAACAAATAAACTGAACACAGTAATGTTAATAAGACACAGCAGCCACATTCAAAAGAATGTTATGAAGAAATAAGAAATAAAAATGTGATGAGTGCATCACTGTCTGAAGGATTATTTAAATCGACTTTCATCCTAACCCTTCTGGAACAGGCGACCCTGCCCTCCTCAGCCAGCAGGCGTCACGTGTCGACAGACACTTTCAGGGGAAAACCCAAACACCTGCTCCCACCAGACAGAAAATCCCCATCTCAAAAAAGAGTACTCACATCTGTGAAAACTTAAACAGCGCGTCAAAGTTGATACTGCGGTCAAACATGTTCATCTTGAGTCGATGTCTCCGAGTCTGCTCGGTAGCTGGAGAACCTGCAGGGATAAGAGAGACAAGCCAGTGACCTCTCCCTTCGCCTCAGACTGTGTAGGAGCTGGCCTAGTTACTGAGGAACTCAGGTGGAACAAAATCTGAAAGACTATGAGGAACGGGAACAGAGATTAACACCCATGACACAGAGCATTCAGCAGACAAAACACGCCAGTTCTTTACACAGCCAGCGGGGGGAGCCGTGGAGCTCACCTCCCAAACTCCATGGTGGGGTCCCCTGGTAATCACCTTGATGGGACACCTGGGCTGTTTTTCTAGGCC